ACACTGTCAAACTCAACATGCTTGGGCTCAGAAGGAACCCCTACTCCATACCTGCAGGGACAAAGTTGATCACAGCTCAGAGTTTTGGACATGGAATGAAACCCAGGCTCATCAAATCACCCAGGTCCCTATGAAAACAAGCTGCTTAGTCTGGGTGAGCTCTGTCAGGTTCCATTCTGCAAGGCGCACTGTGAACCTGTGTCCACGTACCAGGTCTGTGCAACCTACTGGGGTGAGTTTAGATTATGCCAAATGATCAAAGCTACCCCTCCACAGACACAGATGAACAGTGCTGTGGCCAGCATGACTTTCTTCAAATGTGGCATAAGGACAAACAATGTTCCCTCCTCTTTCCGTGGGAAGGCAGCCAGCATGGGCCAGGGCCCAGCTGCCCCAGAGAACACTGCCGCTCCTCTTCTTGAATGGACAGTAGAGCTGCTGCAAGGCTCCTCTGTACTCAGTCTCCATGGCCTCAGCGGCATCCAAGCCATGCCACACAGCCAATAAATAAACACTTGTTGAGAGCTCAAGTGAATGAGGGGAAAGGAGGATGGAACCAAGGTCGGAAAGATCAAGCAGTTTCCGGGCTCCTCTTCAGTGGGGCCCATTCACATGTGTTCCATCAGCTATGTATCTGACTTTCATAGATGAATATTCATGTGCACAGGAAGGCAGTGACAGCCATGCCAGGGTCACCAAGAAGCTAGCAGCACCACCTGCTGCCAGCAGAACGGAAGACAGGCTCTGTCCCAGCCCAGGTGGTGGTGGGTGGGCAGAAGGAGGCTGAGCTGGCCAAGGCTTCTGAATCACCAGGCTGTGAGGCCTCCCTGGACCAGGTGGCTGCTTGGGATCCGGAACTGAGGAGGAAGTGCCCTGCTGACCTGGCAGGCTCCAACTCCCCTTTCTCGGCCCTTAGCATTTCCTCCCCAGGCTACTTGGCCCAGGAGCTCCCAGGGCTGCTTGGAAAGAACTGGTAATGACAGGGCCCACTGAAAACGGTGGCCCTCAAAACAGTGCTTCTTTCATCCAGAGGATGCAGCTCCCAAAGCTATGGGCAGAGACTCTGATCTTTCTGATTTATAACCATTTCTCAGGATGAAGGATGGCCATGAAAATACACACTGTTGGATTTTGCCGGAGGCCAGACAGTAAACCCAACACCATTCATATGCTCTGAAGCTAGGTTGATAGTCCAAGGAAGCAAACTGCCTGAGACTTGACTTACAGCAGTAAGCTGGGGAGCTGGCATGAGGCCGTCCTCCTGCAGCTGGGCACACACACTGAGCGTTCGTTCCCATGCGAACACTGTGGTTCCAGTGTCTTCTACTGAAAACAGTGCTAGGACTGCAAAACTATCTCTGTCCAATACGTAATGAGCTGAGGAACACAATATCCCATTAGCACTAGGTTTTCAGTTTCTAACCATGTGTGTGTGTACACAGATAGATAAAATTTATAAAGTGGTGTAGCCAGGTATGGCGGCACATGCCTGTAATCCCAGCACTGGGAGGCTGAGCCAAGCGGACTGCCACAAGTTCAAGGTCTGCCTGGACTACACAGTGAGACCCTGTCTCCAAAAAAAAAAAAAGCTGGGTGTGGTGGCATATGGCGGCATACAGGTGGATTATACCTGTAATCCCAGCACTCAGGAGGCTGAGGCAGGAGGGTTATTGTGAGTTCAAGTTCAGCCTGGGCTACAAAGTGAGCTCAAGGCCAGCCTAAACTGCAGAGCGAGACCCTGCCTCAAAAAAAAAAAAAAAAAAGGCCTCAGCTATGTAAAATATAATACTAAAAAAACAGGAAATAAATAAATAAGCTCACCTGTTTGAGATAGGATCTCACTACACAAAGCCCAGGCTAACCTTGAATTCACAATGATTCTCAGCCTCTGAAGCATAGGAGCCAGGATAGCAGGCATGTGCCACCATGCCTGGCTCTAAGCTCTCTTGATGTTGGAAGCTGAGGTATTTTCCAGGACTTGCCAGAGCCACATAAACACTCTGTAGCAGTCCATGGTGGTGTGACAGGTCCAGGATATGGCACCTTCAGTATCACACCAGAGGAATGGTGAGCCTCTGTGAGCTCTGCGGCCTGCTCGTTCCTCCACTCACCAGTAAAAACACCAAGTACAGCAAAGCAAGGATGGCTGCAAGTGGGGAAGCAGAAACAGCAGACAGGCAGACAACAGCTGCACGCGGCCACTCGCAGATATGGACTCACCCCAGCCATGTTCTAAAGCTTTTCAAATTACTGCCAATGTTTATACATTAGCAAATTTCAAAAACCCAGGTCTCACCACTGTGCTCTCTCTTGGAGGGATGGTCCACCCTGCAGTAGCAGGGTGCACGTTACATCTTTTCCTACTTTTACTCGGCCCAAACTTACTCTGCAGAGCCTGTTCCTTTCCCTTCCTTAAGTAAAAATTTATTACTGTTAAAAGAAAAAAATTCAGGTTTGGATCCTTCCTTTAAAAAAGGGGGAGTCACAAGAGCCAGAAAGGAGAAATAGCCCAAATTTATATCAGTTGCTGACTGGTTAAACAAAATGTGGTATAAGCATACAATAGAGAGAATAAAGGGGAATGAAAGACTGAAGCATGCTGTAACACGGACAAACCTTAAAAGCATGCTAAGATGCCAATCACAAAGGACTACAAACTGTATGATTCATTCATATGAAACGTCCCTAAAAACCAAATCTTTGGAGACAGCAGATCGGTGGTTGCCAGGAACTGGGTATGGGACTTCTTTCCCGGGTGATGGAAATAAATGTTCTAGAATTAGACAGTAGCAGTAGTTGCACAACATTGTTAATATGCTAAAAAATCACTGGATTGCCCACTTATTCTCAGAATGGTAAATTTTATCTCAATTTTCTAAAGCTTGCAGACTCTGCAGGCCTTCCCATAGGATGCTCATCACCCATTCCAAACTGCCCCTCTGCCCTCAGCCTTGGGCAGCCTGGCTTCTCCTGCTTCCTGGCCTGTGGAGGTCAGAGTTCCAGGCTGCAGAGGTAGCCCTGACTCCACAGCTGGACCTTGAGGACCAAGACCAGGACACAGCCCTGCCCACCAGCCAGTGGAAGGCTAGGCATAACCTGATCATCCAAAAAAAAAAAAAAAAAAAAATCACAATTTTGTCTTTCCTCACCAGGTAAAACTCACCCCTGGTAAATAAGCTGGACAGTATATAAAGGTATATTGTGAAAACCAGGTCCCCCTTCTACTAACTTGTGCCCAACACACAGTGGTCCCCAGGTAGAAAGAAACCACCTACGCTCACCTGGCTCCAGGGTGTGTGCATTCTTCCCTGGGCACTGAGAAGCTACCCCTCAGTCAACGACTGACCACACAGGTTTGAAAGGTGCTCAACAGTCTTCCCAAAAATATCCCATCTATGACCTCAAGTGGCTGTCACTTGACAGAATAAATGATTCTTCAGATTTGAAAATAAAGTCAAAGCCACTCCCTGAAAGTGCCAGCTATCCCCTGAACGTCTTGTGCATCTCCAGCCAATCTGCCTCACATTGTCCATGTGTGTGTTCAGCAAGACCATAACCATCACAGGCTCCTTGGAGCACACTGTACAAGTGCTGGACAGTGAGAAACAACCTCTAAGCACCCCTTCAGTGAGTGAGAACTCTGGACAATTCCACCTATCAGACAGGTACAGTGCTCCATGTGGTCTCTGAGGCTATTAAGAGCACAAAAGGGCATCTGGGGCTAACATGACCTCCTGGACCATGTCCAAACACTTAGCAAGGCTGAGGCTGAGTGACCTAAATGCCTTTTCTTTTTCCCTCCTCAATCTTTACTCTGTTTCCCTGCTGCCTGTTTCATACTACATAGTTCCCAGTATTTGTCCCAATTCCACCCCTCACACCCTCATGCCTTCTGACAAGCTGTCTTCTGCAGGGAACAATTGCTTCTCATTGCCTGCCCACCTGCTCCTCCCTGAAGACTCAATGGAAGCAGCCTTCCTGCAGGATGCAAACCCTCTGGCCTCCTGGCTGCCACAGGATGCCCTCATATAACCTCCATGCAAGCCTGGGCCACACAGCACCGTCACACTGCATTCCCATCATACACACACATGATCAGGGCCTGAGAGCAGAAATGTTACCTGTTCATCCCAGGGCCCTCATATGGCAGGACACAACCTGGCACTTGGTACACTTTAGCAAACATGCAGGGAACTGAGCTAAATACAAAAGATTATTCCAGTTTGAAGAAACAAGGACTCCAAGAGGTGCAGGCAAGATGCCCCAAATACGCAATTCACAGTTCCTGAGTGAAAAGCCCACAGGTCCGCCACGGCAAGCGGAGTTCAGAACACTAGGAGGGGTTCCCAGGGCACCAAGCCAGAAGTCGCTACAAAGGCTTTGAGGCCACGGCCCTGCCCAGCAATTAAGAAACTCCTATGCCCCCAATCACACGCACGAACCAATTCTGTCATGTGCATGTTTTCATCTCCCTTCTCTAACACTGGTACTGAGCAAAACTTAAGAAATATTCATTTACCCTATTAAATTGATTTACTACAGCTTTAAATAAGAAAAATTACAGCTAATGTATCCTCTTTTCCATTAGCAGCAGTGGTAAGCACATGGTAATTCCAGCTAATTATAGCAACTTGATTTAGATATTTCATGCCGAGTGTTATAGCTTCTTAAGCAGGGGTGCGGGATACAACTCTGAGTCACAGAGAACTAAAATAAGTCCCACAATAGGAAGAAGTCATTTCTGATGCATGAGGGAGGCAGGGGAAAAGTCAGCTTTCCTTCTATTCAACGCAAAAAACCATTCAAAACAGAAAGAAAGAGAGCTCTGTGCCTCTCTCCAAGGAGGAGGCTGAGGGCCTGCTGGGAATCACTTCCAGGACCAGAGGAGGCTGCACCCCCACCACAAAGGACTGGACCAGTGAGACAGAGTGTGAGGCCTTGCTCTGTCCCTCTCAACCATCCAAGAGGCAAACACAGGAGGTCAAGGATGGGATCTTTACCAAATGACGGCCAGGGATCTGAAGAACTTGCAGGAGCAGCTGACCCACCCCAGGGGTTGGTCTGGTTAGCAGATGCTGACGGGCCCCAGGGTTCCGCTTTCTGGGCAGCAGGGCCAGAGCTGGGGAGAGCATCCATTAAGTCCAAAAGAGTAGTCTGCTGTGGGTGGGAGCCATGCTTTTAAGACAAAAACAAGGTGATAGTTTTACTTTGCTACAGTTACAGTAAATACCCATGCACTAGCCATATTGCTCATGCCTCATTATAGTATAGGCCCTTTGGAAGGAGCTAAGATGGATTTGGAGATTTAGCTAGCCCACTTCCTGCCCTGTGCCTACCAGCCCCACAAATGTTACTACTTCCTAGGGGAACTTGGGCTCCAGCTATTTGCCATTTGCCAAATGCACCACAGGTTTTCGAAGTTCAGAACACCACAGTGCTCCCCAGATGTTTTCAGGATAACACTGGACTTTGCCCGGGCTGCAACCTCCTCCCACTCTCTCCACCCACGTAGCTGACAGGTGCCATCCAGGGCCCCCTCTCTCTTCTGAGGGCTCTCCCACCCTTGCGGCTCCAATGACTACCAAGTCTGTTACCAGGAACCTGCGGCATCAGAGTGGGGGAGGCTACTGGAGACCCTTGGGGTGGCAGAGGCCGTGTATGTGTGTGTGTGTGTGTGTGTGTGTGTGTGTGTGTGTGTGTGTGTGTGTGCATGTGTGCATGTGTGTGCATGTGTTCCTGTCTCCTGGGCTAAGTGGTAATGAGCTTGTTTGGAATAAAGCCATGTCCTGCTTTTATCTATGTCAAAGTGAGACGCCTGGGGGAGTACAACAGTGATAATGATGAAGACCAATGCTATTGGAGCTCACCCTGACCCAGGAAAATGTCCCAAAGCACTGCCATTTAGCTTATTTAACAGCCATTAATTACCACAGGAGGCAGGTATCACTACCATCCTCATGTCATGATTGAGGGCACTAAGGCACAGGACACTATCCTCTCTTGGCTGGGATGTACTTTCAACTACAACCTCACTCTGCTCACAGGCATGCAGGTTATTCACTGAGAACGGACAGCCCACTGGTCCGCACCACAGGGGATGTGACAGGACAGCAAGCCACACGGATAGTTTCAAATATTTACCTTCCAGGAAGCTCTTACCTCTTTCTTTTTTGGAACTTTAACTGTATCTCTCCGGCTTTCTTCCAGGGCCATCTGTAATCTGAGGTCATCACCCCGCCTAAGACGTTCTTCCTGTAGAGGGACAATGGGAGACTGAAGCCAGTGGTAAAGTTAGTAACATTAACCACCCAGTGACTGTCAGGGAACAAAGTCATTCTGGCCAGCAACAGGAAATGCATACTGTAGTATGTTATTCCAAGGAGGTTTTAAAATCAACCAGTAAAACACAATTATTTATCAATCCCAGCGTGTGCTCAGAAGGCGCCTCCCTCACCGCAGCACATATGACTTCAATCCTTTGGAGTTGTACCCAGGCACCACCAAATTGGGGAAAGGGAATACTTAATCTCAAATATTTTTTTCTCAAAATGAAAATAACTTTAGACCAGATATGGTGGCACACACCTGTAATCCCACTTATTCAGGGGTCTGAGGCAGGAGGATCAAAAGCTTGAGTCCAATATGGGCAACTTAGTAAGACCCTGTCTCAAAATTTTTTTAAAAAAATTAAAAAGGGGTAGAGATGCAGCTCAATGGTATTTACTTAGCATGTGTGAGGGTCTGAGTTTAATCTCTAACAGCTATTTAAAAAAAAAAAAAGCCTTATAATTCTGCTTATGGAAGAAGTATACCCCCTTTTAAAACATAAATTCAGCCGGGCATGGTGGCATACACCTGTAATCCCAGCACCTGGGAGGCTGAGGCAGGAGGATTATTGTGAGTTTGAGACCAGCCTGGGCTACAAAATGAACTCAAGGCCAGCCTAAACTGCATAGTGAGAACCTATCTCAAAAAGACAAAAAAAATTAAAAAAAAAACAAACAAACACAAATCCAGCAACTCAGGATGGAAGTAGAAAGATGAAAATTATATACCATCCCACCTCCCACTGTGGCTGCTTCTGGAAAATGGCTATATAGTTCTGTCATTGTTAACAGAAATGATTCATCATATTTATTTAAGGCACAGCTGCTATGTGCAAAAGACAGGCTTGCCCTAGCTTTTATATAATGATTATGACATATTCCTCATACTTATAAATATTAGCTTTAAAAGGCTCAAACCATCTATCTCTGTGCTTCTCTGTGAGCCCTCCCAAGCACTAATATTCTCTGAACACCTTCTATATGGCAGGTGTCCTTGATTTACCTCTGGCTTCATCTACCCTTGCGACAACTGTTAACCAAGAGAACACCATGTACTACGGTCACTTTAATCTCTCCTTTCCCACCTTCCTCATTTCAAAGTAATTCATGCTTATTAAAGAAAATCAGGTCTGGCATAGTGGTACACACCTATAATCCCAGCATTTGGGAGGAAGAGGCAGATCTCAGCCAGCCTGGGCTATGCAGTGAGTTGAAGGCCAGGCTGAACTACATAGCGAGACCCTGTCTCAGAAAAATAGGGAGGTAGGAAGGAACAAAGGAAGGAAGGAAACACACAAAATAAAGAAAAACAGGAACTGGAAAAAATTAAAACCACACATACAGTGCACAAGGGAGTATGGCTCAGAGGTAGAGCATTTGGCTAATATGCCAAAGGATATGGGTTGCATCCCCACCACAAAACAAACAAAAATAACAGAGCATTTCCTTTTAGCCTTTCTCTGCCCTGTGCACCTGATCACCAAATTGGGGAGTGAGGTGGGAAGGGTGCTAGATCCACTCTTGCCCCTCAAGCTGGCTTCCTGTACCTGCCCTGCTGCCTGACCCCTGAGGAAGCCATGTGAACCCTGCTCATTCAGAGGACCTCAGACACTAGCTGTGTCTGCATGCATGCTTCAGGGAAGCACTTGTTTATAGCAATGACTTCCTTAAAAACTCTTCTTAAATGTGACTTTGCACAGGCTCCCTCATGAAATGGGAGCCATGGCATGAAGTGAACTCCGCAAGTACCTCTGAAATGCTCAGACAATAGGGCCCTGTGTGTCACCACACTCCCTGGGAGCCACACCCTGTCCAGCAATCACTGTGGTACAGACCCATCCGGGAAACTGACCTGCTCTGCCACTTCTCTGCTCATGGCAAGTGCCAGCTGCAGCTGCAGCTCCTCTTCTCCGCTCGTCTGCGGCCGGGCCTGTTCCAGCTCAGAGGACACCCGTGGCGACGTTGCTGTGGAGGGAAGGCAAAATCACCACATGCAATGACAGGGCTGTCCCGCTTGTGCCAGCAGTTCCCCAGTCAGACATCCCATTCCTCACACCCACGAGGGCCAGCAAGAGCCCAAGGACACAGGTAGAGGACAGGAATGGGCTACAGATATGTCAGGGTTAACATTAAGCGACTATCAAATGTGGCTTCATGACTATATGTCATATGGTGCTGACAGAGAAGACGTCCTTTGATTGTGCAAGTCCCAGGCCTCTGGAAGATCAGAACCTCAGTCTTCACTGAAGATCTGCACTGCTCCAAAGGCAGGGACTGACTCAGACAGAACCCAAGTTGAGTTCTGGAAGAGCTGGACCAAAGGACATCCTTCTGTCAGGCACAGGGGCTTGGAGACCAAGAGCTTCAGCTGAGTTATGTCAAAGTTTGATGAGCAAAATGGAGCCCACCCATTTCTGTGATGATCCTAAGCATTCTGTTGTCTAACACTGTTCCAGGTGCAGACCCTTCTGCTGTACTTAGTCTAAACACTTGTAAACAGCTCCTGGAAAGACAGTTTTTATTGAAGGGATGCAATGTGAATTCCCAGCTGATACAACAAACCCCGAAACGAGGAAGATCTTCATTTACCCTGTAACTCAAGCAGGGTTTTCCACAGGACACTTGTAGACCAGGGTGTCTGGATGCCCCAAGAAATTAGATGTAGAGCTGGAGGAGTAGGAGCCTGAGTGCTCATGTTTGCTCATCCCAGCAGAGGGTCCAGAGCTTCCGTAAAAGCCGCACAGTAAGACCTGCCTTTTGAAGAAGGCTTGATGTGGCTGCCCGGGATGTTTCCCAGCTCTGGCCTTCTCTGGACTCTGTGCAGTTCAGTTCCCCACCTCCTGCTCCTGTTCCTCGGTTTACAGAGCTCAGCCTCCCTAAGTAAGCCCTCCAGGACAGCCTCCACCCTGCCCCACTGTATTCATCCCAGGCTCCGCATGGATGGCTACATGCACAGACAGATGGGTGGACGGATGGATAGATGGAACACTCAATTTCACGCCTCAGTGGTAGTTTTAAAATGTTTCAATTGTGTGTTAACTTCCTTCTTTTATAACATGAATTCTACCAGATCTAACTAGCAGGATCCATTCACTTAAATGTTACTTCTCCCTACATCTCCAATGTAAATCTTTTGCCAAGGATTGGCCTCTTTTGGAGAAAGTCAAAGGCCAGGAATGATTCCTGACAAGGTAAGTTTCTAGACACCTGGGCCCTGGCTACCTGAATGGAACAGGAAAGAGGCCTAATGCAGATCAGGCCTTGGAAGTGATCCACATAAGGACCATGTGAGACAGCAAGAGGGAAAGGGCCAGAATAGCGCAGGACTGTGATACTACCAAACAGAGATGCTCTTCTCTATAAGTTTTTTGAAAATACACCAAAACATGTAACAATAAGGCTGAACTAGGAACAGTTCTGGGCATGAGGCATAGTGTATTTGTTATGATTTACTGTCTTTAAAAAAAAAAAAAAAAAAAAAGCCAGCAACCAAGCCAGGCATGGTAGCACATGCCTGTAATCTCAGTACTTGGGAGGCTGAGGCAGGAGGATTGCCACAAGTTCAAGGCCAGCTTGGAGTACATATTGAGTTTAAGACCAGTTTGAACTGCATAGCAAGAAGGAGGAAGGGAAGGAGTGAAGCAAAGGAAAAGAAAAAAAGAAAACCACTGCAGTTTTTTTAAAAAAAAGTATTTCTCTAATTAAAAATCAAATCCTATCCTATCCTAGTATGTTACCCCAACTATATTCTATAAATATTTGCATTCTTTAGAAATAAAGCTAGAAGGTAAGCCAGGCAAGGTGGCACACACCTGTAATCCCAGCACTCAGGAGGGTGAGGCAGGAGGACTGTTGCGAATTTGAGACCAGCCTGGGCTACAAAGTGAGCTCAAGGCCAGCCTGAACTGCACAGTGAGACCCTGTCTCAAAATAAATAAAATAAAATAAAATAAAATATAAAGCTAGATGGTAATGAAAAGTCCTCAAACCCATCTTAAATGAATTTCTTAACAATACACTAAAAAAACTAAATTGTTTTGTTCCCATTGATACCAATCAGGTCTTGGCTTTCTTGTGCTCAAGAAGCAAAGTTGTGCCATCCAGATTGGAGAGAACATAGGGGCTGGGGATTTAGCTCAGCGGCAAAGCGCCTGCCTGGCAAGCGCAAGGTC